TCTTTATCTTTCCTTGTTAAATATCTTCATACTTAAAGACTATTTAAAACTAGGGCCATGCTTATATAAGACTTCTGATGGAAAAATGTGGCTGGGTAAAAAAATATTTTAGTGGTTGTGGGATTTTTTTTTTTTTTTTTTTGGCTAAGAGGTTTGCCACATTTGGCTACATTTCTGTCTTCTAGTGACTTTCAAAACATTCAAAAACCACAAAAGTTACTTTGCAGAGGTTGGGATAATAAACCAGGCCTGGATTCTGTGCCATTTTATGACCCAAACACCACCACCACTACAATCAGCATGACAGAACTTTAAAAAATAAAACATCACCCTCAGTTTCTACTCTTTTTCCTGTGTGTGAACAAAACATGACCATGGCATTTTATTTTTTGCATTGCACTGAGAAGATGGCTCTGAAACAGTTTTAGACATTATGATCTTTCTTAAATGTATCCAAATTCCAGCTACCTGCATGATTCCAAAAAGTCAGAGGAGGATAAGAAATCTCCAACTAACTTGCCCCTGAATTCCAGCCCACCGTGTGGTTCTGAGTACTTCCTGAGTCCACTGACAACCTGAGGTATCCCCCATGAAGTTGGCAGGCCAGGCTATTTTCAGAGGTTTATCCTAGGACGATACCTCCACTTGGGTTCTGCCAGAAATTAATCTCCTTTACAGGTATCTCATTGAAATCAGACATTCACCAAAAAATAACGTGTGCTAATGAAGTTTGGAAAATTTAGAACTTTTTTACAGTGGCAACCAAAGCAAATAGAGGTTGTTCTTTGTTATCTGTTGGCTTACCATGTCTCAGGGTCTTTTTTCATAAAGGGCTAAGTAATGTCCATAAAAGGCTGCAAATTCACAAAGTCTCAACTCCACTGGTCTCCACTTAGTTACCTACCCACAAGCCCCACCCCAGCAGAAATAGTCAAGAGGAGATTAGGACCAGGAATGTGGCCCCTACCCCTTCTTCTGTGATAGCTAAACTGGCTGTCACACAAGACTGAGGACTGGCTTCTAACTTTCACATGCACAAAAATCACTTTAGATTAGAATACACTGTATCCAGATCACAGCATGGATGGAGAGATGAAGATTTAAAGTCCATCTATACACATGACCTACTGTTTGACCTTACCTAAGTAAATATATTTACTTCTCTGAGTTGTCTCCTTAATGACAGAGATAGTTACCAATCCCCCAAGAGTAACTTTTTACAAAAGAACGTTTTGATACAATTATGTGTGTGCTTACAGATATAAGAATGACCAAATAGCTTACTTGTCTCATTCTTTATAAATAAACATTTAATTTGAGGTAATGCCCTATCAGTTTATCTGGAATAATTAAATAATGATAATAGTTATTCTTTTCTAAGCAGACAGTTATAATAATAGATACATATGTGCATAATCAAGTCTGGCAGAAGGTGGCAGACATTCCCAGTTAAGTGCACACAAGCCATGGTTTTGATAACTTACTGAAAGAATAAGTTGTTTAAAGTGCTGCTTGCAGTGTGGGGAGAAGATGATTTACTTAAGCCAAAATATTAAGTTTAGAACTTATATTAAAACCATTAAAATCTGTAGAATTCAACCAGAATACATGTTGTCTAATTTACACACAGACCTTTATCAAATTCATATTTATGTTACCTACATGTGTTCATTTCACTACATGTACTTGCTCGTGTAAGAAATGGAGATGCCTGTCACACATCTTCACTCACACGATGTAGCTCCTAAATTAAATAATGCGTAATATGCATTTGCACATCATACATGTCCAACAGAGCTTTTAAATTCTATTTGTCCAGATGTGTCTGCTTGCTTGTGGGGCCACCTGCCGTGTCCCCTTTCTGATCTGATCAGTCCGGGCGGCTCCTGTTTCTGCCTCTAACACCCTGTTGGGCAGTAATAAGATGTTAAAGGCAGCAACAGAGAGAGAAGCCAGGCTGTCAACTTCAGAGAGAAAGGGGCTGAAGGGTACAACCAGGAGGAAAAAGAAAGGGAGTTGAGGGGAGATCAAAGACAGCCAGGAAGAAAGCCAAACTGCTAAGAAAGGAGATGTGACTTCAGGAGCTTGGGATCTAAGGAAGACCCCAAAGCAAAGAGATTCAAATTGTGCCATCCAGTTACCCTCCGCTAACTGAATTATTGAATTCTCACATGGAAAAAGCTAATATAATGAAAAATAGTCCATACTCAGTAGGGAGAGCCCTACACAGGTAATGCATGAAACCTGAGCTTGCTTCTTCCAGGCACAGTGACTACCACTACTTTATCCCCAGTCCTGGAGGAAACCTTTGTGTGACCAGTTTCTGTAGGGGGCGTCCGTGCTGTTGGCTTTTTTTTTTTTTTTTTTTTTTTTTTAAGAGGGGGAAAGAGACTCAGAACGCACACAGAGAAAATGCTAATGTCGTTGAGCTCCGTTTCATTGTCAGGAAGGACACATAAGGATAAAAACATAGCTCTCCAAACCATTCTCCCCGCTCCCCCCCCCATCCGTCCCTGGCTTGAAGTGTCTCGTGCTTTGTTCTAATTTACCCCATGCATAATTTATTTATGTGTGTTTTGTTTCCTGATCAGCAACTTCTAAAAACAAAAGAAATATATAAGATGTTTTATTAAACAAGTTGTTTTCAAAATATGTAAAGGCCGATGGTGTCGGTCTCCCAATAACAACGTGTGTGCTCCAGCGTGAGGAGTTTAAAAACAGTCCCGGGCTCAAGAAGATCTGCTGATTGGGGTTATTGTTTACACCACTCACCCCCTGGGAAAAGGGTTGGGATCCAAAAAGGAGAGGCTAATTATAAATGACCACTCAACTCCCACCTAAAAAAGACAGGCGGGGTGTGTGTGTGTGTCTGCCAACACAAATCACAATTACATCCCATCACTACTGTTTCTAATTATATAAAGTACAAGTACTGTAATTCAGAACTACTTCCACTGGCCACCCAAGATTTGGCCACCTTCTTCTCGCTTCTCTATCCCTTCCTCCACCTTCCCAAACACGCACGCTTCTGTGGTCCGGAAAAAAAAAAAAGTGTAACGATCGGGGATCCCTGAAGCCTGGAGATATTGAGACCGCCCGCGCGTAAGCCGGCTGCGGAGTAACAAGGGTACGGCTTTCCCAGCAGGAAGCCCAGCGCACAAGCGAAATAGACCTCTTTAACTTGAGATTACCAGGTGGCATTAGCCCAGCTATATGATTTCAACTGGAAATGGAGAAATTGCAAATCAGCTGTGGGTTCAGTAGAAACTCACATCATCAGCGGTGTGTGAGCGCGAGCGACCCTGAGCGAGGATACAGAGAAGTTACGCCCATTTATTCTGCCATGAAACATCCCCCCCCGCCCTTGGGTGAAACGCTGTGGCGCTCCAGTACTGTGTATCTGGGCTTTCGAATGAGAAGTGAAGCTGAGAGCTCCTCTGTGATCAGCCTCAGCTTCCAGCGTTCTCTCCGCCCGCCCCGCCCCCCCGACACACACAGTGTCCTCTTAACGGCAATATATAATCCGTACCCCTGTTCCTTATTGCTGTTGGGAGATAAGATGGTGCAAACATAATCGAACGTCCCTGAGCTTGAGGAACAACCCCCCCCGCGCGCGCGCGCCCCAGCCCTGCAGCCGCCCGCTGCGAGCCTGGTTTTCAACTCCAAGAGGAGCCCGGGGCTAGGACGTGGATGCACAGAGTTAAAAGAACCAGGTTGACCAACGCCACACACCGATGAGAATTCCGCACGAAACGCCCATCTGCACCTCCTCCTCTCCTCGCCTGAGCTTTCATCCCGGCAGGGAGGTCCTCGTTCAAGGGGCGCTGACCCAGAGCCCTTGTCGCGCCGCGTTACGGAGAAGCCAACCTCTGTCAACATCCCTGCCAACAGCACCCCTCTTGGAGAGATATTAGTTTTCCGAAGCCACCCCTGGCTCAGTGATCGCGAGCGGACTTGGAGGCTTAACAGTTCCACCGACTGGAAGGAAGGAAGGAAGCCAGGATGAAAAGGAGGAGGAAGGCAGGCAGGAATTGGCTTCGGGACCCGGGGGCTGGCCCCCGCGAGTCCTCGCCCAGCCCGCCCCCCTCGTCCCGGATCTGGGCGTCCGCTCAAAGTCTCCCCGAAGCGGCCAGAGGCACCTGCCCCTCGCTCGGACCGGGAGCCCAAACCTCCTGTCCGCCCGCCTCGGTTCTTCACTCAGAGGACGCAAGAATACCATTCATAAGACCTGCAGCTTCCCTGCCTCCAAAGCAACCCCAAGTTAACCCGCGTCATTAATTTACTCCAGCTAGTTCGCCCATAATTACGCAGACACATTGGCGACCGCCCGGAGCGCATTCAGAATCTAGAGCTGCCGGGGCAGAAAAGCCTGGGGCAACCACCTGGGCTCCCGGGACCCGCGGTTTCCCAACTCGGGAAGGTTTACACAAACTCCCCATGAGAGATCAGAAGGCGGAGAGCGCCTTGCAAACTCCGGAGCCGCCGCGGTCGGTCCGCTCGCCGCGGCATGCCGAATCCCCGGGTGGGGGCTCCGGCCTCCAGGGGCGCAGGGCTCAGCCAAGTGCACCGAGGCGGCCGCTGCCCGGAGCTGCGGCCCCGCTCGGCCGCCCCCTGCGCGCCACTAGGCAGGGGACTCCGGGGACCGTGGTCCCCGAGCTGCCCAAGACCCCCCTACTAGAGCGCAGGAGCGCCCGGCTACCCTGCTGATAATCTCTCTCTCTGTCTCTCTTTCCCTCTCCCTCTCTGCTTCTGTCTTGGTCAGCCAATTAAGCAGAACACAAATGTAACAATTTTCTTTTTGTTAATTGCATCTCCTGACATTTCTGCGCGCTAGGAGAAAAAAAAGATGAAGAAGTAAGAGCAGAAAGAAAAGAGAGAAGCCCCGCCGCAGCTGGAGGCGCCTGCAAGCGCCATGCATAGACAGCGCTCCGCACGCAGAAGGCGCCTTTTTTTTCATATTGAAACCACGCGGAAGATGTACATTTTTTAGTCTTACTTACGCTTTCAGGGGGTTGTGAATGACAGTCGCCATTTTGCTACAATGTAACAGAATATTGTCTGTCTCAGAGTTCTAAAGGTTCGCTCAGGGGAAGCGGCAAGCCAATCAGAGCACGGGATACCGGCCCGCCGACCAATCGGCGCGGCTGGTCGCCAGGTGGGCGGGGCCTGTGCGGTGGTAGTTATTAGGGGAGCTGTCAAAGCCCAGAGGTCACTCCCTTTTGTAGAGCCCGACAGCCAGCAGGTCTTAAAGAGGCAGTACCGCGGTAGCAGCTCTTTTTCCGATTGGGACAAGTGGAAAAGCATGGGAGAGCCTTCTAGCTTGGTTTCAGTCCCTACTTTTCTAAATAACTGCAGAGTTTGCGCTCCAGCACAGAAATATTCACATACTGCTGACAAACCACTGAATTCCATTCATTAGCTTTGGACTTTGCATATCACCGTTTTTAATTCCCCGAAGGGTCAAGCCTAGTGTTCCACTGCAAAAGTTGGAAGGCTGCCGTTTCCTCTGACAAATTACTACACGTGTCCTGCCGATTGTTAATGCTCTGGGTCCTGCGGCTTTTTAATATTCTTGTTCCCGAAGTGTTTTCTTTATCTCTGCCACCTTCCTCTCTCGATTTCTTAGAACTGCCTCCACAATTCCTGGCGACTCCAGGACAGCAACTCCCCTCCCCCTGGGCTGTCTGAATGTCATGCTGGCTCTCTCTGCCGCCAGGACTTTCCTTACGTAATTCCCGGTGATCATTCTGCGCGGTCGCCCACTGCCACCGCGTCAGTTCTCCACCCTCCTCAGAAACTTCTGAAGGAATACTACTCCAGCGGGCTGGAGGGCTGGCCGGAATCTGGCTCTCTGACCTTTAGGCTTAGGAGTAGGGAAGATTTAAGACAACTTTTGGAAACTCTGTTTGTTACTAGGAAAGCGAGGCAGAAGTTGTAGAACCTGGACTGGGTGTCGCCCGAGTCCCTTTCGGGGAGTGGCCCTCGCGATTCTGGCGTCACCTTCTTCACTACTTAGATTGAAGGTGAAAAGAAGTTGCTAATGAATAATCCTTTGTGACCCGAGGCACCCGAGGGCTTGTGTCTGCGTCAAGTCCGTGCGAATTCTTCACTGGCGACCCCTTGACAAAATTGAGAGACTTCTGCGAAGTCTGGTTTACACGGGGCATCGGGAAGCTCCTAGTGGATGAAATCCTAGGGGATGAAATCGCACTGAATCGCCAAGAGGGCAGGGGCCTCGTGAGCTTATGGAAGTCTGGTTAGCATCCCAAAGCTGTTTAATCAGGTCATATAGCTACGACTGGAGGAGGGGTGGAGAGGAGCTCAAACTGCCAGTTCTTCACAGCTCTGCCCTCTCACTTCTTTTTGCTCCTCTCAAGGCAATGCTACAACAACAACAACAACAAAAAATACAATATCCCAGAACTTTCAGAGCTCCAGGCACACAGTATTAGAGTCACAGATAACCAGAAAGAGGCTGAGTCAGTACATTTGTAAGAGACTTGAAATTTTTTTTTTTTTGGTACCAGGTGCCTCTATACCTTTTCCATGCTATTTAGGGCAGTTCTCAGCCTGCACTTTATTTTTTTTTGTACCAGGGATTGAACTTGGAACCTTGCACTTGTGAGGCAGGCACCAGAACCACTGAGCTAAATCCCTGGCCCACCTGAAACTATT